TGCTTTCCAAAGACAGCTAAGATTTATCTCCAAGCGTACAGACAATTTGACAGATCAACCATCATTATTAGGACTAGTAAATCTCTACACTTTTGTAGATTACAGTTTGTCATCACACTTTTCCCAGTCTTGCAATTGTAACCAAGATATAGCTACCTCAGCTGGTATCTTCTCTGGCTTGCTATTTTCTCCATATTTTTGATGAGTTGAGGATCTCACGTGCTTGTTCAGCTGCTATAGTTTCGTGCCTCAAGCTACCTCAAATAAAATGTCAGCAATGTATGTATCTCAGTACCATCCTTGTTGTGTATAGCAAAATGGTGGCACAGAAAATTGTCAGAGAATGTGCTAAAGGTTCCTGGGGCTTTCAAAAAATTCCCTAAATTTAAAGGTGTTTTCTACTTGCATGATTTTACTTCCGGCAATAAATTGGTCACACTTTCCATGAGTAAGGCCTTTAATAAAAATTTCCTTCCAACTTTGAGATATCTTAATACTACTGAAAATCATTACTATTATGGGAAAATTACTGACAAAGCTTTTATAGGAATGGCATCTCTGTCCTAGACATTGTATTACAGGGAACACATTGTGCCTTACATATTTCATTGTCATTTGCACCATAATATTTCAGGATGAAACAGTTGATCATCAGCTTCTTGACATGTGTGAATACTGCCTTATGCTGCCATAACTGTGTCTGTGCTACAACTTTGTTTAGAAGCCACCCTGCAGGGGGGTTGGCAACATTTCAGAGGTGAATCTCAGCCGTCTGGTTTACAAATCATAATTGATTTACTAGCTTTAAGTTTCAGTGTTGCTCGCACTGCAGGTTCTAGCCTTCGAGAAGCAATGGACAGTACACATGAAAATTCATCCTGACTTTTATTTAGTCATCTCTCTATTATTGTAGTCTACTTTTTACTCTGCTTCTCTTACTAAAATCTACTTTTTCAAGCCAGAAGCAGGCAGGCACCTCCAGGGTGAGGATGCCAGCACGTTCTGTGGCAGAACACTCTTGTCTATGCAGATCTTGCTTTTGACTGCCCCCAGTATGACCTGGATCCCAGCAAATGCTGTTAGAACCTCTTGCAGACCATGCTGCTGCTGCATTGCCACCATTATCCCAGGGCACTTGCCAGCATCCAGCTTTGGTTCTGAGTCTTGAGAATATTTCCACTTTTGCCTAGTCAGGCATAGATAATAAGGCCTTTGTTTAAGCTGCTAGAGTTTGCTCTCTGAAAACACATGGGCTGTCTCGGTTCTCCAAAGCTATTATGATGCCTTTCAACCAACAGGATTAAGTACTATTTGCAAAATATCCCCCCCCGCAAACACACACAAAAGTAAAAAAGGGGGGGGTGGGTAAAAAAATGCTGCCAAGTCCCCCAGGTTTCATCCTATGAACATCTGAAATGAGCACAGGCTGACTCAGATGTTATAATATAGCATATAGAATGCTTATCAAACATTTCTGTCAAACACCACCCCTGACTAGGAGCCAAAGGGAGACTTAGATTTGAGATTCTTCTGTCTGGCACATTCCAGTAAATACAAACAGCTGTCCACTGGTACATTTTGAAAACTGAATGACAGATATGTTGCAATAAACTTTTCCACTATATAAGGTAGCATATGGGGGGAAAAAGGGGTTTTGTTTTTTTAAAACAATCTCCAAACCATGGCACTTCGTTCATCTTCAGCAAACTACTTAAAGGTTAAACAAAAATTCACATTATATTGGTTAAAAATATTGTGTGTAGAATGTACTAAATACTAAAAGTACTAGTATTTGAGAAAAATCTTGTAATGCTTCCATTTTTTTAATTAAAACTTGTCTGTTCAAAGGCTGAATGTGAATACAATGGCCTGCTTTTCCATACTGACTTGAAAAAGGAAAACAAATTTCTTTGCAAGCACACTTCTCTATTTGACAAATAATTTTTTGTTGGGAAAGAACCTTTCAAGGTATACATAAAAAACATGAGTTTGAAAAATCATTGCTGGAAAGTGTTCTTTATTTTTCTTTTTGTGAAAAGAAGTTGTGAGCACAATCTTTGAGATACTTGGAACTCCTTGTTATTTGATACAAACCAAGAATTTCTGGAAGTAACATGTACACAGCACAATTTGCTGATGTAATCTGATCACAGGAGCTGTGAAACAAGAGAGAGGATGAGAGCAACAGCATGAAAAGAGGAGCCTGGAAAAGTTCTGAGATGTGAGAAGAAGACAGACAGTTTGGTGTGGAGCTTTAGAAGTGAAACAAGAGCTCTGCAAAGCAGGGAGAAGAGGAACAGTGCTAGCACTGGCCACTCAAATATTGCTACCATGGCACTGACAAGCAGTCAACAGAAGTCCACCACAAAGAATTCCTACAAAAGTCAAGCGAGTTGTTGAGCTAAGCAGGCTCTCTCATATATTTATAAACACTCAAAAAGTTCCAGGGTAATAAAGAGAAGATGTTGAAACTGTTGGTAAGTGTATTAATGTTTACTAAACCCCATGTTTGGCTGAAACAGGTGACTGTTCTATCCAAACAGGCGCCTGTCCTGCTTCCCTCCTCCTCACAACCTCACAATAGCCATTGCTAATCTTTGGTTTGCTTGCTTCTAAAGTCCAAACTGTAGCAACTCCATTGACCAGGCAAAAAGTTCATAGAATACTACAGTGCAAAAATGTCAAAACCTGAATAAACATATAAACATCTCAGTAAAGATAAGTAGTAGTAATTTTTAATTTATTAGATAGTCTAGCTGCTAGTAAAATGTATTATTTATAAAACCAACATTTGAAAATCTAGGTAATGTACTCAACTTCATAAGAGACAGAATATTTCAGAAGAAAAGGCGATACTTTAAAAGGTTCTGGAAATACTTCATTTTAAAATCTGGAAATAGTGTCAGTGACACCCTATCTTCCTCACTCTCCCTGGCAATTTTCACCACCTGCTTTTAGCTAAAGTATGAGCCAAGATTTGAAAACTGTTAATCACAAGGAAAACACTGCGTACCGTGTAAGCTGCATCTCAGAGCTACCAGACGTTCCAGCTGGGAAATCAAATCCTTACCCTCATCCACACGTACCGTAAAGGGTACCTCCCCTGGTCTATCTCCAGGCAGTTATTCCTGATTAGATCATGTCTCCCCTCAGCCCACTGCCATGGTGCAGATCAGAGAGACAGAATACACAGCCTGTTTCTCACCAGCAGCCACATACGTACGTTTTGTGTCCTGCTGGTAGATTAAAGTCACTGAAGCTATTAAAAGTCCTTTAGGTTAGCTGGGAATTAGATGTGCAGGCAGTGTGAGCCATCTCCTAAAGCTCACCTACCCGCTCTGCCCATGCTTTGCTACCAACCTGATACCCACTGGTCGTGTCTCCCCTTTCCCAGCAGTGACAGCCAGTGTCTGACTGCACCTGACTTTACCTGAGGGGCCCCTGAGAGGGTTTTTGCTTTTTGGAGTTGGAGTGGGTGGGTAGAGAGGGGCTGAGAGGGAGATCCCATAGGTGCAGTCTGGCAGGATCTGCTGCATGGGAGAAGGGTGCAGTTCACTCACCTCATTGGGAGCTTTAAGGCTTGGCAACCCTTCAGTGATGAGGCCATCTGAGTCAGACAGCACTATTTGTCTGTCACCCAATCTCTGCAATAGTGACCAGTGATCTCATGCTCCACAGACGGACTCAAGAACAATGTTTAAAACAACCTTCTTGAATTTATAGGCCACAGATGCTACCCATGCCTAAATTCAAACAGAAGCATAAAGTCTTCTTTTAATGGTATAGGCTACAGGAGCCATTGCATTTTTATGGCTGTTCATGCATGCCTCAAGACCCTATTAAGAACAACGGCCTCACTGAGACTTGTGAAAGAGAGCTCAAATAGAAAGCAAAATATTGTCAGCATCCATGTGAATGTCAATTCTGTAAAATTCAAAATCTTAATCAATGTGAAAGGTTTATATATTATCTGTATACTAAAAAATTATGTATTATCTGTATATTAATAACTTCTATATAGATATATATTATATGTTACATATATAAAATGCATACACACTATCTCTGTATTTATATATGTATGAACAGCTGCTCATTCTCTACTGCATCTGTCAGATTTTAAGAAAATCAAAACAGTCTCAAACTACTAACAGTCATGCTTGGATTGCTCAGAATCTGACTGTGTCAAATCTATAGAATCTACATATAGTGCATAGGTTATATGGGCCTTATGGGAATTGCTTGACCTGAAGAAAGGAACCACTGATTATCTCTCAGTGCCAGGATGCTAGAAACTGAACAGAACTAACTCGATGGTTACAGTTATGAACAGCTATTTGTATGAAATAGGGTCATTTATCTAGCACTATCTAAGGATTAAAAAGTTTTTACAATATTTTTAAATAGCTCTTCCCACCACAAGCTGCTATTATGTTTGCTGTTATACTATACCACTAGTGTGGCCTTTGAAATCTCAAACAGCCATAAGTCTACCAGGACTATGCAAATTTTGGTAGTCTGCATCTCATCTCAAATCTCCTAAAAGCAGCTCCTATTGAACTGCATCTCAAATGATCTGGACCCTAGATCTCCAGTTATTACTGTAGAATTGGTCTCCTTTTAATTGCAAGGGATGGTTTTGGAAACTTTATCTAGAGTATTGATAAATGTTCTCAAGAAGAAAAACTACTCCAGTAAATAAAAATAACTACATTTGTGTTATTTCAGGATTCAGTGTCAAGTGCCTGCTTTCCACAAAGAGCACACAGAACAGAACAACAGCAGCAGCAAAATCAACTGATTGCTAGGATTTCTCTCCTAGTTCACACAGAACAAGGTATTTTTGTTGCTGACCCAGAACTGATAACAGATGAGATTTTGTTCAGGTGCACACGCCTGTAAGTCACAACTTATCCAAATATCTAATTTAAGCATAGGTGCCACTCAGGCAAGAAAATGTCCTTCCATCCTAACCATCTGAAGAGGCTATTGATACCCACCACTACTGCTTGCACATGATATTAAGAGCCTCTCCTGCTGCAGTTCAGGCACTTCAACCATTACAAGGAGCTCCCAGGCTTTGTCCAAAATGCCGCTCCTGCCTGCCCCTGAGAGAAGATCAACATTGTGGGTTAGGCTGGCTCAGTGGTCACCAAGCTAGAAAGCACAGCACTGCAATTCAACAGCTTGAACTCGCAGCCAGATTGTGACACATGGGTCTATTCCAGCCATCTGCTCCGAGGAGCGTGTGCCTGCAAACCCCACGATGAGCCGCACATCACGGAAGTGCAGGAGAGAACTCACTGTGAGGATGCGCACCCATTAGCCTTAATAGTCACATCCTCTAAAACTTAATTTCCCTGCCTAACATTTCTTCTCCATTACCTGCTATAAGCAGTCTCAGATGCCAGCCCTGCATCCAGAGCTACAGAAGCGCAAACACACGTGCACACACACGCCATGTCTGTGTATCCATCCAACAAACCCAGGCCTCTGTACACACACACACCCCACAGCCACAAAGCACATCAAAGGAAACCCGCCACCATGCACACATCATTTACCGCGCAGGTAAACCCTTGCTGATAAAGATATCTGCACATACTCCATATCCACGTAACACAGGCAACAAACCCGGCCTCAATAAAAACCGCATCATCTCCTGCACTCAACAACCCTGCGCCCCTCAGCAGAAACAGCCTGAGTGTCACAGAGTGATGCCCTGCATACTGCTCGTGCCCTTCTGTCACCCCTGAAGCGCACAGGCTGTTCCACACCCTGGGGCTGTGTGTCTGCGTGTGTGCGCTCATATGTGCAAGAAATGTGTCACTTTTAAGCGTCTCGGCGTGCACGACATGACCGGGTGCCCACCCGCCCGTGGTGCCGCCGGCTCTGCGGGGCCGTGCGGGAGCGAGCACGGGATGCGCTGCACGGCGGGAGCGAGCACTCGCT